GGAGAAGTACATTGAGAGGTTGAGCAATGAACTAGTTATCCTATGCCTCCATCTTTTTGCACTTCAATTTGAAGTGTCCCCTTCGTCGCCTCGTTAAAAACCTCCTCGAGAAAACCTAATTGGGTCAAAACTCAAGCGAGGAAAAAAAGTACGACTTGAAGGATGCTTTTTCTTAAAAGTTAAAGTACTTGAGGTGGGTGATATTCTAGTTATTTGATAGTAGTTTTCCTTCCATTATTTCTAGTTGGAATGACCCTTTCTTTGCTATTGCCGTGATTTTGTATGGGTCGTCCCAATTTGTTTCCAGTTTACCTTCTCATGGGTCTTTGCTTCCTTGTGTTTTAGCTTTGAGCACGTAGTCCCCAAATTTGAGTGTCCTGCCTATTGTTTTTGGGTGATCATCCTTATGTAGGCCATATCCCCTTTGTTCCTCGGCTTCGTCGAGCTCTTGCCTTCTGCTTTCGTCATTCCTTATCCCGCTCTCGTGGGAGTATCTCAGACTATGCTCTTCGACTTCGGCCGGTATTACAACATCAATCCCATAGACAAATGAGTAAGGCGTCTCTCTTGTGCTCATCTTCGGCGTTGTTTGGTAGGCCCAAAGTACTTCTGGTAGTAATTTCGGCCATAGCTCCTTGGCATCTTCGACTTTTTTTCTTCATGATGTTCAGTATCGATTTGTTGGAGGACTCTGCTTTCCCGTTACCCGCGGGGTGATACGGTGTTGAGAGTATTCTTTTGATATGCCATTTCTCAAAAAAATTGGCGACCTTTTATCCTGCAAATTGGGGTCCATTATTGCAACTGATCTCTTTGGGAAGGCTGAAATGACATACGATATTTTTCCAATTGAAGGCGATCACTTCCTGTTCGCATATTTGGGTGAATACTCTTACTTCTACCATTTAGAAAAATAGTCAATTAAAACCAAAAGAAATCATACGTTACCTCGCCTTGCCATGAGGGGCCCACGATGTCCGTTCCCCATTTGATAAACGGTCAAGGGGAAGTGATTGAATAGAGGTGCTCGCCTGCTTGGTGGATCATTATAGCGTACTTTGGCACTGCTTGCATTTTTTTATGAAATCTGCGGCCTTATTTTTCATGGTGGGCAGTAATATCCTGCTAGTATGAGGCATCTGACCAAAGCTTGATTGCCAGAATGAGCTCCCCAATGACCTTCGTGGACTTTTTCAAGGACGCACCTTTGTCGAAGCATATTTACGACCTCCTATATTAGGGCGATGCAATCCTCGGTTTTGTGTCCTCGTTCTTGGTGGAACTCTCAAAGGGCATTTGACTTTCTTGTGCTCGGATCTGACCTCATCTTTTGTGGACATTTTGCCTTTGGTCTAAGCTTCTCCAATGCGTAGACTATTTCTGAAGGTGACACACAAAAGTCATGAGCATATAACAAAGGGAGAATACCTCTTTCGTTCCAGTGAGTCCCTGTCCTTGGCCTGGGTGGGCCCTCTTCATAGCGAGAAGGGGGCGCAATGGCGCTTCTGACATATGGTAGGTGTCGTTACCAGTTGGTTTGCAGAGCTATGAGGCCCCACCTAACATCATTTCTGCGATTTTTTCTAGATTCGGCTTGTACCGAAGTCAATCGATGGGTCGGCCCGTTGGGATCGTCCTCGTCTGCTCGTACCTCGACACAATATGCGTTATGTATCTCATCCCAAGTAGGTGGGGGTACTTTACAAGCCGACTTAATAGTTTTCTCGTTTCCCTTGAACCATTTCTGTTCAGCCTGTTCTGGAAAGCTGCAACTGTCATCCCTTCTGATACATTTGACAAGGTCATCCTTACTCGATTGAAACGGGCGAGGAAGTCCCTAAGTCCCTCCCCCCGGAGACTGTTTGATATCAAATATATCATTTACTCTCACTTCGTCCTTTTTTGCCCCAACATGGGCTGTTACGAGCTTGTCAGCCATTTTTTCCAAGGTCTTAATGGAATGCGTAGGCAGTTGTGAATACCATGTAAATGCACCTCATGTGAGGGTTTTGCTGAATTACTTAAGCAAAATGGAGGATACTTGTTCCTTGGCGAGATCATTGCCTTTCACGGCGGTGACGTAGTGAGTTACATGGTTTTCGGGAACTATCATTCCATCATATATTTTCAGGTATGGCGTCATTTTAGAGGTTTATGGTATGGCATGCAAGGCAGCTTAATCACTGTATGGCTGCTCGACAAACCGACCAACATCTCTTTTTCGCAAGAGCTTCAGGGTACCTGGTATCTTATCGACACTTTCTTGGTGCTCTATCATTTGGTCCTGAAGTATATTGTTCTCGTTCTCCATTTCTTCTATCTTTTTCAAAATGGTTGCGAGGGTGTCGTCGCCTGCAATATTAACAATGTTGTGAGCAATACCTGTCGTTGGAGGGAATGGGCCACGCTGCTCGTCTGCTGGTGGTATAACGCAAGTCCTTGCATTTTCTTTAGCGGTATCCTGAGCAGGCTTATGGAGGATGCTGGTTAGCATGTCAGTTAGCCACGCCTAGAGGAACCTTTTTACTATTGGTGGTGTCTCTTCCACCACGGACGTGGAAGCTCCCTTACTGTGAGATTTTGTGATGCTACAGTAAGGAGGGGTTGATCCACCTCGCCTAGGGAAGGAGTTGGGCATTGTATCCTCGTCCTCTGCTCCATACATCTCATTGATGGTGTTCATGAGGTCGCCCGTTACTCTCATTCTTTCCTCTTTGTTACCTGCCATATTAGATCTATGCGCACAAAGAAAAGAGGTTCGTTCTTTTCTTCTTCTTCTTCTTCTTCTTCTTTTTTTTTTGTTACGTTAGTAATCCGTGTTAGTTATAGATCTAGAGGAACTAAAAATTTAACTAAGAGATCCCCACAGACGGCGTCAAATTGTTTAACCAAAAAGTATAAACTTTCGGTTAAACTGTTTTTTATGTAATGAAGGGCTAAACTTAGTTAATGTTAATATCTCTAGATATAGGTCTTGAAAACACGGATAATGTAAGACAGAGTTGGTGGGAGATTGAAAATAACATGCACTTAATATTCAAAAAGGGTATGGACAATATTGGAGGAGTAACTAGTAATAAATAATAATAAATGACATTTAAGTAAATAAGAGAAGTGATTCACCCAATGAATGAGGTAGATGATTGTTCTCCTAACAATGATGACTGACAGACAACTCCTAAAATGTTCAAACTATTCTCGGATCTGATGGAAAAGTATGGAATAATGTGAGTAAGAATATTGATGAAAAGGTAAAGTTTGTATCTTTGCTAGAGAGAGAATCTTCTCGGAAAAGTGTTCTTATCAAATTAATATTACATGCCCTATCCCATTATCTCTTTTTCTATTTATATGAAACATGTCTCTAACAAGCCCTAATAGTACAAGTGCAAAGAATATCTAATAGAATATTCTCTTTAGTATTCTATTTCAAATACTAGCCGTTACTGTTATTTATACGATGCTCGACCTCGATCATGGTGACATCTCGGCCATGAACCCTGCTGCTTTTTAGTCGACCCCGACCAACTCTTTCCTTAATGCCATATTATGCTAAATGTCCTTAGGGCAGATTTTGGCCTATACACTAGTAAGAATTTTTCTTATTCTAATTAGTATTTTTTCTATTCCAATTTAGGGTTCGTTTGACCATAAAAAAAGATGGGGTATTATCACTTTTAGCCCGTGCCAGAAACTATTTACATCTGGTAGCCGAAAAAGTATATAAAATTTGTATATGTATGTATGTATATATATATATATACACACACACACACACACACACCCCCTCCCAAAAAAAAAAAAATTATATAATTTTTTCTGCTATTATTTTTACAGTAGCTATACAATGTCATTTTTCCAAAAAAGATTCTTTTTTTCTTTTATAATTTTTCACTTTTTTTTCAAAATCAGTTCAATTTTTACTTGAAGATGAATTTTAGAATTTCTTGAAAATTTGAAAAACTTCAAAAAGTTATTTTTCAAAATTTTCATTTTAAATCACTTATAAAAATTCAAAAACAGCCAAAAATTATATTCATATCCAAACACAATTCTAATATTCAAATACCATTTTACTTGATTTTCCCCACTTTTTTCCGAAATTTTACCATTCTTATGTCCAAATGCACACTAACACTACAATTTTAAATTTTATTTTCTTTTAAAAATTTCTTGACCAATCAAAGAATGCCACATTGAGTATCTCCCTTAGGGCTTCTCCAATGGTGCACTATTGTTTGCACCAAATCTAAATTTAGTGTTTTTTTGCTCCAATGGAATACCAAATCTTGCACCATTATAGTGCATGAATAGTCATCAATACCAAATTTAATTTATTATTATTTTATTCATCTTTTTATTTTTTTGAACTTTTAATTTATCATATATTGTGTATATAATTAATTTTTATATTAAGATCTTTATAATTTTAATTTTATATCCTATTTTTTTGATATATTATTTTGTATATATTATATTTATATAAAATTATAAGTTAATTTTATCATTATTATAATTGTATAAAAAGAAATATAACCATTATTTAAAAATAAAAAATGCATTAATCGAGCATTTCACACTTTGTAATGCAGTAATCGAACATTTATGGGGAATAGAAGCAAAAATTGAATATTTATGTGGTATTTAAATTAAATTTGACTATGATATAATATTTATTTAATTATCTTTTATCAATGTTTTCACTTTTAGTTGATTTATCCTTTCAAATAATTTTATAATAAATGATTATATAAGTGATGAATATGAATTATATATGATGAATATGGAAAAAAGAAAAAAGACAGGATTTATTTGAAGGAAATAAAAAATAAAATTTAAATAGAAAATAATAATATAATATAATATAGAAGAGAGAAGAAATATTTTTTTTGGTATAAAAAATAGCGTAATGGTCGGACTAAATTTGATGTTACGCTATTGTCAGAGAGTTAGAGAGAAAGGTAAAGCATGAGAAAACACACGTGTGGGGTTGCTGCTCTACGAACACTATCTTTCCACACCTTTTGCTTTCTTTTACAACTACTATATATATATTTACAGAATCAGATACGGATTTTACAATTCTTGCTTCAATTTCGGAAATATTATCTGCAAATTTTATGGGCATTGAAAGGTAGAGAGTAAAAGAGACAATGAGTAAAGGAAATGATCCAAATCCCTTTGATGAAGAGGAACCACAAATTAATCCATTTTCGGTAATCCCTCATTTTCCTCGTTGGATTGGATCTAACTATTTTTCTGTTTCTCTCTATCTTTATTTAGCGTAATTTTTGGTCTTTATTTGGTACGTGTTCAATTTAGGTCTTTGTCCTGATCTAGATCTGTGCAATTCAAGTTTAAAAATATAAATTTTAGTTATAAAGCAGCATTCTTGTTTTGATTAATTTTGTTGCGTGTGAAGAATTAGCCTAAATAGCTGCCTATTCAATCGGTTAAATTAAAAATAGCCAGCAAACATATAATATTCGTAAATGTATAATGTGTATAATCTTGTATAAACAGAGTATAATTTGTGTATACCGGCTAGAAAAATGAACAGTGAATCCGGCCGACTATTTCCGTAAAGATCCTCTTTTTTTTTGGTTCCTTGAGTCCTACGTTCATGGGAATGACAAATTAGGATATCCTTGTCTGTAAACTTCTCATTTTTGTAAAGTAAGATTATATTGCATTACAGCAAATTTTAAGTTTGGATGAGGTGAAATATTATGTGAATACATTAAATACGTTGCAAAGTGATTCTAGCTTTGTATTTAATTAATTTTAATGAGAATTGAAGTGGATTTCTAAAAAAACATTAAAATAGAAAAATCTCATTTATAAAGTCATTTATTTTTTGTAAGTAATTCCTAGTTTAGTCAAGCAATCAGCTTCCATCTAAACTAGTTGGGGTCGACTATACATTCTCTATTTCCATTCCGCTCTTGGACTCCATTTAATTTTAATACTAAAATATATTTTTTCTGAGGTAAATGAGGCGTTCTTCAAAGCAAGAAGCTTTTTGAATCATAAGCTTGATGGCACTATAGTTCGCACGACTTTGAGTATCTCCTTTCTTCTTATATTTTGGAATCAGGATACTTCTTCCCCGCTCGTTTGGCATCCTTGTACTCTTTAGTATAACATTAAATAGCTTATTAACACATACTGTTCCAACCTCTCCAAGACACATCCAAACTTCCATGGAGATACCATCGGGACCACAGGTTTTCTAGTCCTCATAATTTTCATGGCATCTTTAACTTTACAAGTCTAATTCTATAAGTGTATCTAAATTTTCTATTTTGCACAAGTACAGAGGTATATGAAGTTACCTCGTATTGGAGTTGAACATTTGATCAAGATAATACCTCCATGTCTCGTTGATCTCATTATCTCCTCTCAGCATGTGCTGAGAATTATCCGTAATACACTTAACCTGTCCTTAGCCCTCTCCTCTTCCAGGTGTGCTAGTTCATACATTTCTAACATTGGACACTTTTATCTAAAAATAGTTTGGCCTTTTTTCTTACTTTAATCCTTAGCTCTGATCCTAACTTTTCATACGTTCTTGTATCTCCTTTATCATGCACTTAATAAAGTCATTACCCTACCTTGTCTGGTTGACTTTAATCCCTTTGGATGACTCTCTGCCCTGCTTCCATATGAGGACAACAATTGAATATATCTTTCATAGAAAACTGCCAATTGCTTTATGGTGCATAAAAGCTCTAACTTGGTTTATAGCTAATTGAGCCTAGGAATGCAATGCTTGCATGTTTAATTTGTGCATTTGTTACACACTTATACTTATGCACACACTGGTGACTTTCAGTATGGTAATGAAATGCGAAATTCCTCCCATTTCTCATTTGTTTCTTCTTGCAGAATGGTGGATCTGCTCCTGCAACTAAATCACGCTTTCCTCAAATGATTGCTAGCACTCTTGGTTTTGGCCAAAAGAATGATGCCACTGTTGATATTCCGTTGGATTCAATGAATGTAATGATTTTATAGCTATACCTTTGCATTTCACCATAGAGCGTTGGATTTTCTGAATCAGTTCTCATGAATTGTGAATCAGGATCCCAAGAAAAGGCAAAAGGAACTAGCAGCTTGGGCAGAAGATCTGGAAAGAAAGGAAAGGGTTGGTTTCTGACTTCTGAGCCAAAATTGTTGTGTGCAATGTAAATCTTGTAAATTTTTATTTCCTTATTGTTTCCCAATTGTGTACTACTCCTAACTCCTAAGTATGGAAATGCTCTTGAAAATCCTGTTTGAGTTACTTATTTTCTGCATGTTTTCAAACCATGGCAAATTCCCTCAACCTATCTAGTGTTCTCTAGTCTATTTTGCTTTGCATATCATCTTGTGGCTTATGCATGCGCTCATGAACTGCCGGTTTTGCAGGAGATAAAACGTAGAGAAGATGCTGTTGCTAGCGGTAAATATGACTTGTGGGAGAGTGCTGTAATTATCTTGCACATTTTCTCTCTTACATGCTGATATTCGTTTTTTTTTTCTATGCTTCAATTTAGCTGGTGTTCCGACCAATGATAAGAACTGGCCGCCATTTTTTCCAATTATTCATCACGATATAGCAAATGAAATACCAGTTCATGCTCAAAGGATGCAGTATTTGGCTTTTGCAAGTTGGCTAGGTGTGCTTCTTTGCACTTCTTCGCATCTGTTCACTTTTCTCTTGTAGAGGACTGTTTATTTGTATGTTAGGAAGTTACTTATTCTGTTTTTTAGGGTTTAATTAGATGTTGCAAACATTCACATTTTTCGATGTCCTTTTATTTGGCACAACATTGTACTTTTAACATGAAGATTTTACACCAATTTCGGTTCTTTTTTTTCTCCTTAATTGATAGTGCGGGGTGATTATTACTAAGGGTCTTCTCAGTTTTGTGCTTTTACTTAAAACTTAAAAGACGAAAAGATTGGAATGTCAATCTTGCTGCATTTTAACCCAAGCTTATGGAAAGGTTTGCATGCAGCAAGTTAGTGCAGAAAGTAGAATGGCAACGAGGCTATTTTAAAAAAAAGGAATGGAGAGGATGGACAACTTTACTCTTCTCTTGTTTTGGGAGAGGAACTGATGTCATGTAACATATGCAGTTCAGCAGGGGCGGAGCCAGTGTTCTGGCTACGGGTTCGGCGAACCCAGGAGCTTTGCTTCAAACCTTGTATTTTTCTTGAAAATTGTGTTGATTACGTACAAATTATTAATTTAGAACCCAGTAACTTAAGGCTTAGAATTCTGAACTCATAAGCTTGAAATTCTTGCTCCGCCTCTGCAGTTCAGAGCATTTGTGGCATTACTAAAAATGGTACCAGATTTAGTTTAAATTGTTCTGTCTTGTCATCTTTGTCATCAGGCCAAAAGGCCAATAGCTTTAGGACATGAGGAGCATTAGGCTCTGTTGAGTTCAGTTAGATTCTTTTCCCCAAATCCAACAATCCAGCTCTGAAGTTTGTTGAACTTAAAGATAATTTTTCGTCACTAACAATGGATACTACTTAACCCCTTTACCGACCTGGAAGCTATATGTCAAGACCCTATGCAGTTTTCCTCATTGACTTTACACAAGATTCCCGATTCAAATAAGAAACATATCTAGAGTAGGATGAAATCAAATTAGTCAACCTTGATTCCTTGTTTTATGACGAGGTTTTTATATCTATGGTGGAAAAGAATAGGAGAAAAATCTTTTCTTGTGGCCATAAGACTTAATCTTTTGTCCTTTGTCCTACTTGTAACGTTTTCTTTCAAGTGCTATATGGACAAGTCTTCATCTTTCATCATCTCCATGCTTTGTAATGAACTTTTTCTACAGGTATCGTGCTTTGCCTTGTGTTCAATGTTATTGCTGTCACTGTTTGTTGGATAAGAGATGGTGGTAAGTTTCATTTTCTATGGCATTGTTTTTTTAGTTGTTTTAGTTCATTACATTGCTTCTGACCTTATTTAGTCTTTGCTTTCCTTAGGTGTCAAAATCTTCTTACTTGCTGTAATATATGCTTTACTTGGATGTCCCCTTTCGTATGTATTGTGGTATAGACCCCTTTATAACGCGATGAGGTATACAGTCTTTTATTGTTAATTCATCCCCTCTTATCGTATGAAAGGATTCCTTCTTATTGTTCTATTCTATTTTCAATGCTCTATTACGATGACTCATTTTGTGCTCACTTATGTTTGGATTTGCAGGACGGAGAGTGCACTAAAATTTGGTTGGTTTTTCATGTTCTACATGGTATGTTGTACTGACAAAGTGATAATATGTTTTCTAATTATATCCCAGGATTAAGTTTCTATAAAATTTGACTTTATGTGCAGCTCCACATTGGATTTTGCATACTTGCTGCTATTGCTCCTCCCATTATCTTTCATGGAAGATCCTTAACGTAAGTTTTGCTTTTATGATTCTTAGGTGAGATGAACTTTTTACTATGAAATGCAACAGTCTTAGTCAATGTGCTTCTTCTAGTAAGTTGTTTCGTGTATGAGGTTATAATTTTTAGCTAGTACCTTTATGAATATACCTTTTCCACAACAATATTTTTAATATTTTGCAGAAGCGTTGAAAATTATATTGGCCTCTAAAGTTGAAGTGTAGAGTTCTTATCATGGTGATGTGTGTGTGCTGTGAAGCTTATAAATAATGAAATATGAAACCCAAAAACCTCTGCCTGCACTGAAAGGAAGAGCATGCTTACCTTTATGACTAATGGATCCTGCATTTGATGGATATTATAACACTGGTTCTTAGATTGCTGATTGCCCTTCCTTTAGATGTGTTCTTGAGATGGAATTAGTAGAATTCGCTTGCTTGTATACATACACATGTAACTCTTGGTTCTCTTGTTTATCTTGTTTTCTCGTCTAAAATTCATATTGTAGAGATGCTCTTCTCTGTTCATGAAAAGGGAAAATGTGAAGTATTGGTGCCTCCTAATTTATGTGGTGTGCTAGCAGTGTTAACGTTCTTGGATTATCATTGACATATATATCTGCTCCCTTTTTAACTCATTCCAGGGGCATACTTGCGGCAATTGATGTCTTCTCTGACCATCTCTTGGTTGGGGTAAGTTATCTACTTCTCACTCCTTTTTTTTGGGAAGATTAAAAGATTGAACCAATTTATTGACATTTCTATATGGTTCTTTGATTATGTTTTTCTTGAGAATCAGTCTCATGCTGCTACTTCTTGATATAGGGATGTTTATGAAATGAATAAGACCTTGTAAGGCTTATATGATCCTTCGCCTCTAGTTACATACATAGGTAGCAATTAGCATTAATTTAGTCCAGTTAAAAATGCTAACAAATAGGGTAATGTTATAAATATATTATATTATGGATGTTCATTTAGTACTCCGTTGTAAATAAGCTTCCACCGTAAATATGTTTATCTATTTAAGTACTCTATTGGAAATAAGCTTCCTGAAGAAGCTTATCACTTCGATATCCGGTTATGGATAAACATTACCCCGGTAGAAGATTATCCATACCGGGTATAATAAGCTTATCCTTTCAGTACATAGTTATGGATAAACATTACCCCCGGTAGAAGATTATCTATACCGGGTATAATAAGCTTATCCTTTCAGTACCCAGTTATGGATAAATATTATCCCGGGTAGAAGATTATTTATCCTTTCAGTACCCAGTTGTGGATAAACATTACCCCGGTAGAAGATTATCCATACCGGGTATAATAAGCTTATTCTTTCAGTACCCAGTTATGGATAAACATTACCCCCGGTAGAAGATTATCTATACCGGGTATAATAAGCTTATCCTTCCGTTATGGATAAACATTGCTTTCAGTAGAAGATTATCCATATCTGGTATAGTAGCAGCTTACACAGCAGCTTCCTTTCTTTTATAAGAGATTTCAGATTCGAATAATATATCAGTTTCTCTCTATACTTGTCTTTACTTTATAGTCTTTAAAATATAGTCTTTAAAATATAACAGGTAAAAGTATATTATTCCACTTAAGGCAAGTCACTGTTTGATTACCAAGTGGCTCCTCTAAGTCTGCTGTTTCCGATCCTCAGCACTTCCTGGCATTTGTTCTTATTCCTCTTTGTATATGTACATTTTGCACCTTGGTCTTGCTACTCAAGCGTTTTGCCAGCTTGACAATCTTTTTATGCTTATTCTCAAAATTAAGGTAATTGTGTTCCTGTATATTTGGAAAATGACTGGGAAATGGAGAAAATCTTCCAGTGGTTTCTCATTGATCAGTTTAGCAGGTTGAAGTAGATTTCAACTTTACTGCCTTTCATTTCTTGAACCTTACAGTAACTTTAACTTGTAATGTACGACACACTAGTTGTATGTACTGATTTAGAAGGGGTAGAACTCTCTATAGATAACTGAAACTCTAAACTACAGAAAATTATGATTATGTGATAATATCTTTTTATCACGCTTCTGATCTTCTCTTTATAAGATGTTCTCACTTCTCCTTTTCTTGCAGATCTTTTATCTGATTGGATTTGGCCTTTTTTGCTTGGAAGTTTTGCTAAGCTTGTGGGTATTGCAGGTTAGCATTTACAGAATTGGCATTCTTATTTTGCAAATCAACTGTCTGCGCATCAACTTCGTAAATTTTGACCACAATCTTCTTTTTGTGTTTGTTCCGAATGGCTTTCTTTCTTTTTGCCTTTTTTTTCTTCTTGTTCACTTGCTTTCTTTGGCTTGTGGGCTCGATTCCAAAAGTTTCTTGGAATGTCCTTCAATCTGGAAGCATAAAGAAAAAAGAGTTTCACATTAAATATATGTTCATCGCTTTCCTCTGGATGGAGAAGGTTGGTTTTCTTGGGAGTTCTTTCTATGATTAAGACTTCGTCTCTTCTTTTTGGGGTATGTGCGGTTGGTGTCGGTCGATGGTGTGAAATCCCTTTCCTTTGTCGAATTCCAAAAACGAATGAGAGGTTCCTCACTCTTCTTTGATTAGTCTTAGGACGGAGTGGAAGCCCCCACTTGTATAGGAGTTTAATGTATCCAGAAACTCAAGATAGCAAATGGCAGGGTGGGGCTTTTGTTGAACTCTTGTTGAACGTATTAGATAATTAGATATTATAGATGCTTGATAACAATGAAAAGTGATACGATGCTAGTTCCAGTTAATTTGCTATACAACATTAACTGGGGGTAAAAAGAAACTTAGTGTCAAGAATTGGTAATGTTTAATTACATATACTGATGTTTGCTTTAAAAACTCAATAGTTGTAATTGTAGGTCCTTATAAAAAAAAACTCAGTATTTGTAGTTCTCTGCAGCAGCAGGCAACTTGTGCATCATTGCTTTTCGAAACAACATGAATACAAATCGAAGTTCATTCATATAGGTCATACGAAAAAAATGAAATTTCACTGGTGCGAGTTCTTCATATGTCAATGTTCTACTTCCAACTTAGTTCAATAGATCACACTCGTATGAATTGCTTCAAATCCCTATGCAATTATGTCATTTGACAATTGGTTAGAAGGGGGAAAATGTTGTTGGCTGCTAACTATTTCTTGTTAATTTCATTTGCTTCTCACAATGTTTGTGTACTGTCACTGCAGAAAGTTTACCTGTACTTCCGCGGGCACAAGTGAGCATGATTTTGGATTCAAGACCTCAATTCAGCTGCATTTTTTTCGTTTTTTTTCTCGAGGAACCTAAGCTTGTGTCTTTACCTATGGAAATATTTTTTGGCTGAGTTGTGGTGCGCGGGATAGAGTTGTATGTTCTGTAGGATCATACAAATTGTTACTCCAAATGTGAGAGATGTAAGTAACTTCATTTCTATTGAACTCTTACTAGTTACTATATCATCATATTGCCAATGTATGTAATAGCCATTACATTCTATCAACTTACTCTGCCTTATTGAGCCTCTATTATAGTCTTTGGGGTTGAATTCTGCTTGGCAGTTTGCATTATGTTGAGCTTGTATCAACCGACTATCAAGTTTCTTTTTACAAAGCGAACTCCCATCCTTTTGGGCACAGGATACGAGAACCAATACGAGTAATCTAAGTGTACCTTTTTTTTTCCGATTAAGATTCTGAGTACTCTTAAGATTCTTTTTGTTAAACTGCACAAGAATATTACTAATTTTTTTTGGTAATTGAATTTTTCATTACCAGGGAAAATATATCTGTACAAAACAAATAACCCCTAAGAGACTGCGAAATAATAGACTTTTCGTAAAGAGCAAAACCAAAGATCACTACGTTCTCGAGATCTATAGCCACCTAAACCACTCCTAACTGGAGAAGAAGGAATCAAACTAGGGATAGTAATTCATTTTCCTCGGGCACCCTGCTACTTTTACTTTACATCTACCTCTAGTCCTCTACCATGGATCTCCTGGGCCACCAACTTCACTAGTTGATCTTCAGTTCTTTTGCTATTTTGAAATATTTTGCTATTCCTCTCCTGCCAGATGAAGTAAGTACAACATGCCAAGATGATTCTATATACTTCTGCTTCCGCCCCTTTCCTTGTGCTTTTCAGCCGAAACTTGCTCTCTAGGCGATCTGTATTGCAACAGAGTATTTGCAATGAAAGAACTAACCCGGTCGTGATGTCACCTATCATGGAACTAGGCAAGCCGACACACTCCCAAACAATTAGATATTTCATTAAAAGATAGATAATAGCCTTTTTCATACTGAAATTTCGTAAATGAGATTAATTCAAAAAAAAAAATAAAAAAATACGGAAATAGAAGCCTGACCTCAAGTGTCACTAAGTCATGAGTAAATACTATAAATGTTCTGAAATATAGCAAGACTAACATAGTCTGAGAGTAGCCAAAATACACTTAAAGGAAGATAAAGAAGGAGAAAGACAGGACTGCGATCGCCAGACAACTATCTCGCTATCTTCGATGAAAGTCCGCGACTGGAATAGTCAACAGCTGCTACTGTGGCTGAGATACCTGGATCTGCACGCAAGGTGCAGGAGGTAACGTGAGTACACCAACTCAGTAAGTAACAAGTCCAAACCATGGACTGATAGGTAGTGACGAACGTAACCTCAATATGTAATAGAAATAAACTGTGCAGGAAAGGTAGGCATGCTATCAGTCCAAGAATACAACTCAAGTAGTAAAATAAATACAGATCTAAACAATGTGAGATATAAAGCTCAACTAACTCTACATGCTAATGCACAGAATGTATAAAATGCACCATGTGCTCCCACTCTCAAGTGCTCAACTACTACGTACTGCATATGGCCATACGGCCCAGGGAAAATCCATCTCGGAACATATACAACACTGACTGCAAGTCAACCAGTATTGCGGAACAAGGGTAATCCAACCCTGAGGAGAAATCCATCTTCAGGTATATATCTATACACACTTAACCACTCGATACAGCATATGGCCATCCGGCCCAGGGAAATCCATACCGGAACATACTCATCGCTGACTATAAGTCACTCGGTACCGAGGAAAAGGGTAATCCAACCCCGTGGAGAAATCCATCTCTAGATATCAATACTTCGGACAAATCCATGTCCAGGGAAATCCATCCCTAAAAATATCATCTGCGCTCACTAGGGGTGTGTTATAGACTCCGGAGGGGCTCCTACAGCCCAAGCTCTATCATAATCATCAACATAACCGTTGCGGCCTGCAGCCCCATCCCATAACTGTCACTCATAATCAGGCTCTCGGCATCACTCAGTCATCAGTCTCCAGTCTCTCAGACACGGGCTCACAATGCCATGAAACTAGCCAGAAATAATGATATAATGTGCCAAATAATAACAATTGAGACTAAGACATGGTATGATATGCATGAATAAGACTAAGTACATAATATCAATGAGTCTAATAAAATCACATCAAGAAACGACCACTCGGGTCTCAACAGTATCGGCGTGAAGCCTTAACAGGATATCAAGCATGATTTACAACACATTTACTTAATTACATGATAGAAATACGAATATCAGCAAGAAAGAGTCACTAAGTGGTGCCATGGAATGAACCAGACCACAATTCTCACGGTGCACGCCCGCATGCTTGTCACTTGGCATTTGCGTCACCTTAGTACTAATCATATAACACATAGTTCGGGGTTTCGAACCTTCAGAACCAAGTTTGGAAGCGTTACTTACCTCAATCAAGCCAAAATCTTACTCCGCGATGCCTTTGCCTCTTGAACTGGCCTCTAACGTCCTGAATCTAACCAAAAGCAATACAATGCAATCAATATAGGCTAAGGAACCAATTCAACACGAAAAACTATCAATTTAGACTAAAATCCTAAAATTCACCCAAACCGGCCCCCGGAACCACGTCTCAGAATCTGGAAAAAATCACAAAACTAGAAAGCTATTTCACTCACGAGTCCATACATACAAGATTTATCAAAATCTGACTCCATTTGACCCCTCAAAACCTGAATCAAACTCTCCAAAAATCCCAAGCTCTAACCCCTCATTTTCACCCCTAATCTTCACTAATTACATGATTAAATAACGAAAGATCATCACATACACGAGTATTAGGACTCAAACCACTTACCTTACTGATAAACCCCTGAATCTTCCTCAAAATCGCTCTCAAAAGCTCCAACGCAGACTAAAAATGGTGGAAAATGACCTAAAATTAGCGAAGTCCACCATTTATACATTCTGCCCAGAACTTCCGCATCTGCGGTCCTCATGTCGCTTCTGCGATGCCGCACCTGCGGAATATCCATCGCAGGTGTGGTTCCTACTTAAATCCTAAGAATCCGCTTCTGTGTTAAAATGTCGCACTTGCGGTATCGCAGGTGCGCCCCAAAGCTCGCACCTGCGCTTCCAGCCAACTTCAACCTTGGCCGCACATGCAGTCTCTTCTCCGCTTCTGCGGGCTCGCACCTGCGGTCCCCACTCCGCAAGTGCGGTTATGACAGCTGAGTTCAACTTCAGCAATTTCTCAAATTCCAACCTTGTTCCGTCAATCACCCGAAATCAACCCGAGGCTCTCGGGACCTCTACTAAACATACCAACAATCAAATATCAACCTACGAACTTAGTCGAACCTTCGGAATACTCAAAACAATATCAAAACATCAAATCACCCTCGGATTCAAGCTTAAGAACTTCTAAACTTCCAATTTCCGCAAACGACGCCGAAACCTATCAAATCACCTCCGAATAATCTGAAATTTTGCACAAACGTCACAAATGACACTATAGACCTACTCCAACTTCCAGAATTCCATTTCCGACCCCAATATCAAAATTTTCACTACCGACCAAAATCGCCAAATTTCTAACTTTCGCCAATTCAAGCCTAATTCTACCACAGACCTCCAAATCACATTCCGGACGCGCTCCTAAGTTCAAAATTACCTAACGGAGCTAATGGAACCATCAGAATTCACATCCGAGACCGTTTACATATAAGTCAACATCTGGTCAATTTTCCAAACTTAAGCCTTCCCAAAAGAGACTAAGTGTCTCAAATCCTCTCCGAATCCACTCCAGACCCGAACCAACGGACCCAACATATCGTAATATAGCTGAAGAACACAAAAGGAAGCAGAAATGGGAAAATAAGGCTATAACTCTTGAAACGAACACAAAAGGAAGCAGAAATGGGAAAACAGGGCTATAACTCTCGAAACGACTGGCCGGATCATTACAACACAGTATTTTTGGTGATGCCCCACTTGTCCAGTCTGTCTTTTGTAAGCAATTTTCCATGAGCCACCATTCTCAAGTTAAAGATTCATTTTGGGCAGCCTAAATTGTTGGAAATTAGTTTCCTCCATGATACTTTTAAGATCCTTAATAGTCCTTTCCTTGTGTTATAAATAGTTTTAAGAACACAAGTTTCTTGGTCCTTAAAAATGAATTTCATTTGACTTGTTAAAGTTATAGCTAGAAAAGCATTAATAGCAAATGCTCTACCCTTGGAAGACTCGGGTCTAAATTTAAGTAGAGACAAAATACTAAGTAATTTCTTTTAATTTCAGTAGAGTTATCCGTTGTATTTGTATTGATATGCGATAGCAGATATTTAATGATTTAATTAAAGTGCATGCAAATTAACTCAGACTATACGTCATGAAAGTAAAAAATAAAAAAATAAATACTCCAATACAGTGCCAGAATTTCATATCAAAGTCCATATCTCCCATACACCCTCGTCTCCTCATCTTTTCTCAACCCATATCCTGCTGCCACCTGTCACAGCAGATATCCAAACTGCAAGAATTCACAACCAAAACTTCTCCATTCCTTTATTTATCACAAAACCATCACCTCATCACCATTAAAATTTTCAATTTAAAAAAAAAGAAAAATCAAGAAATTTTGTCTGAGAAAAGTTATTTTTACAATAGCATCCTTAAAAAGATTGAAAAATTCTCCTTCCAACCCTCAAAAGCACCTCCATATTTGTCCAAAACCAAAAGTATTGGACATAGACAGCCACAAATGTGACGCATCAGCCTTTTTCTCATCAAATCAAACATTTTACTATCCAAATCATTATTACAAGTGGGAAGCTCCTAATTCAAAGTTAAATTACCAAAATGTCCACCAAAAGCTGATGGACGTTTATACCCTTAGTCTTATTATACTTTTTAGCAACTAAATTATTGTATAAAAATAAATAGCTAATAATAGTGTTTAGTCTCTTCAATTTCTTATCATTATTATGCTCTTGAAAACTATCACCTGCTTAAATCTACTACAAACAAGCCGTGATTAATACATCATTGATTGATAATGTATGTATTCTAATAAGGCTTAATTTTCATTAATGTTCAGAAAAAAATGTTATAGTTCCTTCAAAAGTAAAATACATGCAATGTATGAAGTGTTCTTTGAATATTTACCTTTTTTTTACAAAAATTCGCAGCTAAGTATTACGAAATATTAATGTGGTAATTAATAGTTTCATCTTA